GATGAAAATTACCAAGCAGTTTGGACGGAAGAAATAATAACGAATATGTTATAGGTGGAACACATGGCAGGCGCCAGCTTGCCGCTCTGGTAGTTTTGGGAAATCTTCATTCACAGAGGCACCTCTGCGCGGGTCACCAGTTCGGCACGAGATCTATTCAAACCACGTGAGCATATTTTCTCATTCATTCATCCATTCACTAAGACTTAATGCTGCTTTATCTACCACTAATAAATTGTGTTCTCATAGTTAAGAACACAAGCAGAAGAAGAAGAAGACATTCTATTCTCATAGTTAAGAAGCTACAATAGAAAAGAGCTACGAGTCTGCACATTTGCATCGTAGTACCTGAGCTGCGCGAGTCGTCAATTCAACACACGATCTACACGTAAAAAGTGAGTGTTCATTAAAATTTATTCATTCATTCATTAAGCCATTAAATTGAGTTAGTGTCTCTCTTTGGATCTACTACCACTAAATTCAAAATTCTTTTCACAAAGGGTGGTGGTGCCAAGAAAAATATCTTTCATCTCCTCAAATATTTCTCCATTGAAGCATCAGTACTGCACGGGACACCAGATAAGAACGCGATATATGCAAATCAAGAAAAAGTCTCCCAACCTTCGCTTTGCCAGTTCTTGTCTGCCGTAAATACGTTTTGATTCATCTCTCCTAGTTAAGGAGATATCAAAGATTCTTGGATATTCGAATCTTTTCAACTATTTAAGCAATGAAGGTCATATGTCTTCGTGGACTGCGAACCAAAGCTAACGATTAAAACCATACCATAGAGAAGAAGAAGAAGAAGAAGAAGACATTCTATTCTCATAGCTAAGAAGCTACAATAGAAAAGAGCTACGAGTCTGCACATTTGCGCAACGTAGTACCTGAGCTGCGCGAGTCGTCAATTCAACACACGATCTACTCGTAAAAAGTGAGTGTTCATTAAAATTTATTCATGCATTCATTAAGCCATTAAATTGAGTTAGTGTCTCTCTTTGGATCTACTACCACTAAATTCAAAATTCTTTTCACAAAGGGTGGTGGTGCCAAGAAAAATGCCTTTCATCTCCTCAAATATTTCTCCATTGAAGCATCAGTACTGCACGGCACACCAGATAAGAACGCGATATATGCAAATCAAGAAAAAGTCTCCCAGCCTTCGCTTTGCCAGTTCTTGTCTACCGTAAATATGTTTTCATTCATCTCTAAAGAAGAAGATAAGAAGATATCAAAGATTCTTGAATATTCGAATCTTTTCAACTATTTAAGCAATGACGGTCATATGT